TCGGTTTAAAAAATACCGTCGACATTGCGGCCAGGAACGTCCAAGTTAAATGACGTTCCCGGCCGCAATTTCGGCGTGTTTTGAACGACGTTCCTGGCCGCAATGTCGACGTTATTGCGGCCAGGAACGTCATTCAAAACACGTCTAAACATTCAAAACAGGGCGGCCAGGAGCGTCATTCAAAACACGCCGATATTGCGGCCAGGAACGTCATTCAAAATACGCCGAAATTGCGGCCGGGAGCGTCATTTCATTTGGATGTTCCTGGCCGCAATGTCGTCGACCGGTTTTTTTTTTTGGAAACCGAAATCATCGTCAGGGCGTCCAGGAGCGTCATTCAAAACATGTCTAAACATTCAAAACACGTCGACATTCAAAATAGGGCGGCCTGGAGCGTCATTCAAAAAACACGTCGACATTGCGGCCAGGAACGTCATTCAAAACACGCCGAAATTGCGGCCGGGAGCGTCATTTCACTTGGACGTTCCTGGCCTTAATTAAGCCCTTCTTTGTTGAACCGAAATGGTCACAGGTCCTACTGGGCGGGATTACGATTTCGGTTCAAAAACCCTTTTCGTATCCAAGGTATGTATTTAGCTTGGCTACCTTCTTTTTCCCCGAATACAACGTGCGGTCATTATAGAGCTGTGTTTAGACTGAAAGGTACCCCAAAATTTTTCAGCTCGAATGACCGAATGTTGTACTCGCGGGAAGACTGACCCGAAATTCAGCAGCTCTAATGACCGTACGTTGTATTCGGGGGAAGTCTGTAGACTCTGTACGCTATACCTCGAGTCAATTCGCTGCTGTGGATCGAGGCGCGTTGGTGGAATATCCGAGTTTTTTTTTATAGATTATGATGGAAAGATCAACGGCCAGAACTTCAAAAAGCGAGGAATCGTCATCTGGGATTGTCTTTCTTTTATTGCAGATAAGGTGTTCTTTGCTTCAGATTCTTTGCTATGGATATCATAATGGTAGAATTTGTTCTCTGGTATTCATCATTTATGTTGAAAATGGCCTGGCTCATCGTTCAACCATCTCATCTCACAGTAACTGTTCCCGTGGGCAAGGTCCCACTTGCACGGATTAAGAGATTCTGGCCGTTGATCTCTGCGATCTACGGTCAATATCGCTTAATTCGTGTAAGTGGGACCTAGCCCCGTGTCTTGAATCCTGCAGTGGCTGGTTTGTCCCGTCGTTTGGTCTGTGGCGGTGTCTGCATGTGCGCCTTGTCATCTAGGATTCGTTTGACCCCTGTTCTGTAATGTTTGGCTGTTCCCTTTGCTTCTTCGCCTTTTGGCTGTGTGCAAGTGGGTCGATATGACACACGGGGGTGGGGGCAGCCGCTGCTAAGCTCAACCTACATCCACGTGGGCGGCCTTGTACGCAAGAGGTTCTGAACAGGAGTCTTGTAAGGAAGAAGATAAAAAATGAATTTATTTCTTTTTTTTCTCGCATTTGCGCTCTGATAAATTTGTGACGATATATATATTGTCACATGATATCAGAGCGCCTAAGCGAAAAAACCAGAAAAAACAAAAAATCTTAAATTCGTTTTTAATCTTCTTCCTTACAATTCCCCCTGTTCAGAACCTCTTGCGTACAAGGCCGCCCACGTGGATGTAGGTCTGTCTCTTATACACATCTAGATGTGTATAAGAGACAGCCCACATACAGGCACCGCCCCGCCTCTCAAAGGGCCGAACAACGGGAAACAACCAACCAGGATGCCAAAAACCCGAATGGCTGGTCCCACGTGAAAGCACAGCCACGCCCATAAGATAGCCCGAACAACGGGACCAAACCAACCGAGGTAGAGACAAAATCAGCAAAACAAAAAAAGGCTCCAATCCACAATGTGACAACCAAAAAGGAGTTATCGTCACCAACAGAACTGCCCGGTAAACCGTAGGCAGAAAGAGAGAATATATACGATATATATATCGTCAAATATATATATATATATATCGTCAAATATATATATATATGGCCGGCTTAAGCCTTGTACGTAAGAGGTGATGAACAGGCGGAGCTTTCCAACCTTACTTCTTTCCTTTTTCTGTTTTGTTTTTTGCGCCTTTGCGCTCCGATTCACTGTGTGACCAATATATCTATCGTGTGTGACGATATATATATCGTGTGTGACGATCTATATATCGTCAAACAGAGCTGCCACACGTATAGTTCATCCAATAATATAATACCTTCTACTACTCGCCACCATGGAAAGCAAGCAGAGTATGAGCGAAAAGGAAAAACAGGCAGCAACCAACGGCCCTACCTTCTTCCCCTGAATACAACGTACGGTCATTATAACAATCGGTGAGCCATCTTTCAGTCTAGATACAGCTACAATGACCTTACGTTCTGTTCGGGGGAAGAAGGTAGCTGCTCACTTGGTACACCCCGGAACTCCTGAAATGCAGACCCAAGTTCGAATCGCGTAGCCATGAGATGACCAGAACAGTAATTACTGTGAACTACCTGGAGGCTGAGCCTGGTCAGTTCGACGATACCTCAAGGCCATCATCATCGCCCCTTTTCACAGAAGCGGGGGCCAAAAAAAACAAAAAACAGGCACCAGTCCTCCTTGAGACAGCCGTAAGATCCGAGCGACAGTCGAGCTTCGCTTGAGACAGCCGCAACAGGCTTTGGTCATATTCATACGTACATGTTTTGTGCTTTTCCCCCGATGGATCAGATATTGAACTGATACATTTTTGCATACTCTACGTTATATTAGACATTATAATAGATATTTCCCCCCCACCCCCCCCAAAAAAAATAAAAAAAAACAATAATAATAATAATAATAATAATAATAATAATAAATATAACTCTACGTGTACAGTTTGTCACATGGTAGAACTCCTCGCTCCAAATCACACAACTATTATGGGATTCAAAGCGGAGTATGCGCGCAGAAGGGGAAAAAAAAAAAAAAGAAAAAAAAAAGGCAGGCAGCAGTGCTCCGGGGGCTGAGTCCCACTTAACCGAATCCTCAATTTCTGACCGTAGATTCCAAAGATCAACGTTCAGAATTGACGACTTGGCGTAAAAAAGTGGGACTTGGCCCCGGTAGCATGTCCCAACTGCACCCGTTTAGTTGAAGCAACTCAACTGTATGACAGCTGAAATTTTGAAAATGTTTATTTTAATTCGATTAAAATTTTAAAATGGGAAATGCATTTATGCATGGCACGTCGGATACAATTGTTCTGTTTTTTTTTATCTTTTTTGAATTTTTTTTCTCTTTTCACAATTGGAGTGGCACACATGCACTTCCACTGTTCCACAGGAGCAGAAAATGACGAGTTGCCAGAGTCCCGGGGGCAAGTCCGACTAGCAGCGTTGAGCTACCTCAACGCCCGAATCTGGACGCTTTTGCGGAGATGTGCAGAAATGGTGTTGAGTTTCCTGAACTGCACGTCTCCACAAACACGTCCAGATTCAGGCGTTGAGGTAGCTCAACGCTGCTAGTGGGACTTGGCCGCCGGGGCCAGGTCCCACTTACCCGAAGGATCGATTTCTGACCGCAGATTTGAATGATCAACGACCAGAAATCAAGGATCAGCGCAAGTGGGACTTGGCCCCGGGCCCAGGTAACTCAACGGAAAGTCACGGAGGGTAGGGCGCGTAGTATTCGAAGGAAAGAATTTAATTCTTCTTTTTTTTTTGGAAGAAAAAGCGCCGATAGTCTCTATTGCCTTTTTTTTAATTAAAAAAAAAAAAAAGATGGCTAGATCACTTGGCCTAGTACCGTAGTACGTGCATCTCCGTGGTCGCCTACAGTCACACACGGTTTGTCGAAGGAAACTAAACGTGGACCTACTACTACAGTCTTCCCCCGAATACAACGTCCGGTCATTATAGCTGAATTTAGACCGAAAGACGCACCAAATTCGGCAATAATGACCGTGCGTTGTATTCGGGGGAAGACTGTAGCTCAACGGAGCTACTGGTAGTGGGACATGGTCCCCGGGGGCCAAGTCCCACTAGCAGAGTTGAGCTACCTCAACGCCCGAATCTGGACGTGTTTGTGGAGATGTGCAGTTCAGGAAACTCAACACCATTTCTGCACATATCCGCAAAAGCGTCCAGATTCACGCGTTGAGGTAGCTCAACGCTGCTAGTGGGACATGGTCCCCGGTGGGCATCCATACATTGCAATTGGAACGGGAGACAATATTAGCATGACACGTGCGAACCGAGAAATGGTGAAAAAAAAAAAAAAAAAAAAAAAAAAAAAAAAAAAAAAAAAAAAAAAAAAAAAAAAAAAAAAAAAAAAAAAAAAAAAAAAAAAATGGGGGGAAAAACAGGAAAAAAATTCCGCTTCGAGCGCCAGCGTGGCCGTG